TTGCCCGAAAATATTTGGGCCCCTTTCTTAACTTTTCTTTGGGGGATGTTACCCCCCCCCCCACCCCCCCACCCTGAATTCAACGAATTAAGACTGAAATGATTTTACGATATAAACATACTGTTAAGAAAGCGAGGAAAAAATTGAAATTACGCGTTGACCGACTTCAAGCGATGACGAGGATTATATGAAACCGCTTTTCACGCGAAAAACATTACGCTCTAATAAACTGAAAAATATACTTTCTTCTATAATATTCTCTTCTGATAGATGTGTACATTCGGAGGAAATCTGTGCATATAGTTTTAGTTACCAAGATCAGTATGTTTACAGTGCAGTGCTTTCATACACTGATAAATAATTAAAAGATAATACCGGCGGATATAATTAGCAACGCGTGCATGTCAATTTCAGTCGGCACGTGCGTCAAGACGTTTGCTCTATGTTTTAAAGCTAGCATAATTGCTGGCATATTTATAACTTAGTCTCTATCCAAAAAACAGCCAGCCATATTTGAAACATAGTGAACAATTTTGTATGTTTTTAATTAACGCGAAAAATTTAAGTAAATACATTAACAAATTATAGCTTATAATTAGTCGAATAAGCGAAAATTGACTATATTCATGACGCGCTTGTCAGGCGAAAAACACACTGCCCAAAGATTTTATTCGTTATTGTAGTAGATGTGTCATAAAACTCAGTAGCTGCAATGGATTGGATACCTGATACCGTGGCACTTTTGAGAAAAAAAAATTTACCGCCGGCATACTAACGCGAATATTTGATCCGCTGTATGCAAATCGTTTTTAAAAGATCACAATATTTTGTTTGCTTCAAGTGATCAGGATAACTTTTAGTTTAGGTTTATGCCCAGGCAGGAAATAATAAAATATATAAGTTTCAAGAAGTTAGAATAAAAGCGCGAGATGAAAGTGAGATGTAAAAAAGCTCAAATATCACCGCGTATAATTAACGTCTTAATTTGTTTTCGAACGCGTCCGGAAATAATAGCGAAAAAATTTAAAAACTGACTACAATTCCAAAGTCAACGTTTTTTGTTCATTTTATGAATGACTTCTTCCACACAAAAAGTATGGAAGAATTCTGTAATCTTACGAAATTCGAGTGGTCTGTTTTTACACGGACTACCTCTTAAGTGTTTTGTGGTCAAGCGAATGCGTATTTGCAGCACAAGTAGTAATATAGGTACCGTTCGGGCCTTATTTTTGAGGTGTTGGATGAGGTGGTGTGAGGTGGTGGAGTGTGAGGTGGTGGAGTTTGAGGTGGTGGATGTCCACCACCTCATTTATAATTAATATTCATACAAATGAGGGTGAGGTAATTAATATTCATACAAATGAGCGTGCGTAGTGACGTCACTCATTAGTATACAATACGTCATAATTATATGCAATGACGTCACGCGTGCAAGTGTGGGCAAGTAAGACGTCACGTGGGCAAGTTTAGGCAAGTAATGACGTCACGTGGGCATGTTCCGGCGGACGAAACTTACTGAGTAGGGATTTTTTAGCGTCCCTCCACGTGTGTGATACAATAGAGAGACTAAGATTGGCTTACTATGAATAGTTCGAGTCCCTCGCATGGGAAAATTGTTATCGAAATTAATATATAGCAGAGTTATAGCCGTATCTTTGCTCGGATTAGATGAATTTCCACAGGTATATTGAAGGATTTTTCGTATGTTAGATAGCGAAGTATAGATATTCGTCACAAAAATCGAGACATATTTTAAACTAAACAGTTTCTAATCCCGGGTTAACATGGTTGTCAACGTCGTTGTTATGGTCAATATTTGCATGTTGTTCAACTTTATTTAGCAAACCTGCTACATACATGTATACTGTTAAGATGACCGAGTCAGATCATAAGAAAGCCTATCAAGAATAGAAGTTAGAGTCGTATATAGTCTGGGGATAACTTTGTTACTTCCTTGGGTTTCATAGGAATATATTTTGACCTGTAGCAATATAAACATGTTTAAACTTTGCAAATGTTGTGTCGTTATGCGTTGCTAAATCTTTAGGCGATAAGGAGATGATTAATATAAAGGATTATGCGAACAAAATTTTTCATAACTATGTGTATCCCAATGGAAAGATGGGGATTGTTTATTACGCGGGTGTATGCCTTAAAACCAGGTGCGAGGCTTTGCGGGTATAAATATTAGGCACAAATTCAGTTTGCAACGTAATTGTAATATAAGCTAATTATAACGTACATAAATTCGAAATAGAGACTTTGTTAGAATGTTCTACATAGTGGAATAATAATCCTCTCGCTATATTGATATGTTCAACACAACTTAGGCTCGGAGCCGAGCTGGAATGGTTCGGAATCCTTATCTTTATCTTTTTATATTCCTTGTCTTCATCTTCTTATCTTCCTTATCTTTATCTTCCTTATCCTTATCTTCCTTATCCTTATCTTCTTATCTTGATCTTCTTATCTTCATCTCCCTTATCCTTATCTTTATCTTCTTATCTTCCTTATCCTTATTTTTATCTTCCTTATCCTTAAATTTATCTTCTTATCTTTATCTTTTTATATTCTTTATCCTTATCTAAGTCTTTATCTTCCTTATCATCCTTATCTTTATCTTCCTTAGCTTCCTTATCTTTATCTTATCTTCCTTAACCTTATCTTTATCTTTCTTATCCTTACCTTTATCTTCCTTATCCTTATCTTTATATATCTTGTTTCTTCTTATCTTCCTTATCCTTAATAATCCTCCCGCTATATTGATATGTTCAACATAACTTAGGCTTAGAGTCGAGCTCGAATGGCTCGGAGCGGAGCTCGAATGGCTCGGAGCAGAGCTCGAATGGCTTTAGGATTCAATGATTCACTCTTATGATTCAATGATTCAATCTTAGGATTCAATGATTCACTCTTATGATTCAATGCTTCACTCTTAAGATTCAATGATTCAATCTGAGATTCAATGATTCAATCTTAAACTCCTTAGGCTCGGAGGCAAGCTCTCTAGACTCGGAGCCGAGCTCCTTAGGTTCGGAGCCAGCTCCTTAGGCTCGGAACCGAGCCCCTTAGGCTCGCAGTCGAGCTCCTTACGCTCTATAACAAGCATACTTGCAGGAGGTGAGTCCGGGATTGGACGCACCGAGGGTGGCTGGAAGTTTCCCGAACTTACCAAGCGAAGCGAGGTGAGACGGGAAACTTCCAGCCACCCGAGGTGCGTCCAATCTTGGACTCACCGAACCTGCAAGTATGTTTGGTTTTTATCCCATACACCGAGGCATACACATTGCAGCTCTTTGCGATATATTCGTCGATGTTTTGTCAACATTTTCTCGGCCAAAAAATCAATGGGCTCTTAATACTTCTTTATCTACGTCTAGATTAACTTTATTGCATTTTTTCTTTAGTTTTTCTTCAGTCTCAGTCGGATTGTCACTGATAAAAGTTCTTTAAAGTTCAGCTTTATCGGCTAAATCTTGTCCGCCATATTTGTTTATATTTGGTATTGCGACGTAAGCAGTTTAGCGGGTGAATTCGGGCAAAAAGCAGGTGAGTTCGGCAAAAAGCAGGTGAGCTCGACGACAAGCTAACCTGCTCTAAACCAATCAAAAAGCCGCTTTTAACACAGGTATGGGATAAGGAGCCGAGCTCCCAAGTCTCGGAGCCAGCTCCCTAGGCTCGGAGCAGAGCTCCTTAGGCTCGAAACCAGATCCGAGCCTAAGGAGCTCGGCTGCGAGCCTAAGGAGCTCGGCTCCGAGCCTAAGGAGCTCGGCTCCGAGCCTAAGGAGCTGGCTCCGAGCCTAAGGAGCTGGCTCCGGCCTCCGAGCCTAAGAAGTATAAGATTGAATCATTGAATCCTAGAAGATCAAACCTGATTTTAAGGCGTACACCCGCGTAATCAACCGTACTAAATTTTCTGAAACGTTTTGAAGAAATAAATACATTTTAAAACTGGAATCTTGTGCAAGCTTTTGCCTGCAAAGCCCGCTCTTTCCGCCCACGCGACCCGCCAGCACGATTAATGTACAACTATGTTGTACATTAATATATGCATGCACCAAGCGTCCCTAATGACTGACAACACATAGCAACGTATATAACGACCGCATATTTGATAAAAACATTTAATTTTTATGGCAAAATATATTACAACTGTTCTAATTCTAACTTCTATTTGATTGGCTTTCTTATGATCTGACTCGGTCATCTTAACAGTATACATGTATGTAGCAGGTTTGCTAAATAAAGTTGAACAACATGCAAATATTGACCATAACAACGACGTTGACAACCATGTTAACCAGGGATTAGCAACTGTTTAGTTTAAAATATGTCTCGAATTTGTGACGAATAGATTCCTCGCTATCTACAAGCCTAAGGAGCTGGCTCCGAGCCTAAGGAGCTGGCTCCGAGCCTAAGGA